ATCATCCACGTCATCATCGGGACACCGACGGGACACCCAAGGGACACCAGCGGGACACCGGCGGGACACCGCGCGGCACCGGCCGCCCGGTCAAGGTTCTTTTGCCCTGGCCGCGCCTCAGCCACACGGGACACCAGCGGGGCACCGGCGGGACGCCGCGGGGCACCGGCCGCCCAGTCAAGGTTCTTCTCGAGCGCGAAAGATACCCGTACCCCTACCTAGACAGGGTGGCAAGGGGCCGGGGGGGCGGTTCGTCGCAGCTGACGGCGGCTGCACACGTGTAGAAACGACAGCCGATCGAGCAATACAGACCGCTGTCTTCTCGGGGCGCACGTTAGCACCGATCGCACGTGCGTTCGAATCGGCGGGGTGCCCGACCCTGCGTTAGTTGTTGTCGATGTAGACCAGCTACTGCGGAGGCGCGCCCCCAGACACACATCCAGGCGTTGAGGAGTCAACGCGCACTCGGGGGCGCATGCGAACAACTCTGGCGCGAACGTCATTGCGCGACAACCGCCTTATCGCGAGTTGCTCGATGCAGAAACATCGCGAATCTGTGCCCTGGGCGAGGTCGCCAGAGGCCGCCCCCCTTGGACGGCCGTCTGCGGATCACCCCAGCTAGGTACGGTTGCCCCATGAAAACCCAAAAACATACCCGTACCTAGCCGGGGTGCCGCAGCTCACCCCAGCTAGGTCCGGGTATGTTTCGGTGGTTTCAGGCAGGTCCCCGTGCCTAGCCGAGGTGGCGGCAGGCCCAAAACGCTCTCGAGCACATATCATGCCCTCCAGAGCCGTCCCCGACGTGGCCGCTGCGGCCCCCCTGGGGGCGCGACATTGCAACGTCGTTCCTCAGGGCAGGCCCAAACGCATTGGTTGCCAGGATAGCGAGGACATGCAACTCTTTATCGATTGGGACAGGCGCCGCCACATATGGGCGGCTTTGAACCGCGCACGCACCACGATGCCCCGAGACGTCCCTAACAAAAACCAGCGCTTGTCGCTGCAATCAGACACCCAACCATCGAGCGCGCCGTTGCGTCTTGACGGGCGGATGCTGCACTGGCGCACGCGGGGTAAGTTGACCGGGCACAATAGCAAGCGCCCAGTCCCCCGGACGGCCCATCTCACCTTGGCTGGCCCCGGGTACGGGTATCTTTCGGACCAATGAGTTCTTTTGCTCCGGCCGCGCCTCAGCCACAGGAGACTTTCTCTCGCCCGCCCACGCAGCTTCGCCTCGCCCGCACGGCACGCACGAACACGAAACCGAAATCGATTTCCCGGTAGGGGGGCTCTCCGTTCCACTTCGATCTCACCCCCCAACCTCCGATTTCAACAACTTCGGCCTGTGAACGATCTAGTTGGTACCGGCTGTAGCCACCGGAAAAATCGGATCGCAATCGGATCGAAACAGGTTATACCGTGATACTTCAGATCACGGAGTGCTCTCTGGGCGGCTCTTGAAAGCCACTGAACGGCCTCTGGAGAGCATTGGAGTTTGAAGAGTTAGCTACATGTCCAGTGATGGCCCCGAACCTGCCCAACAATCCAAGGCTGAGCAGCAATCTCAACACTTGTTAGCGCTGCGGTTCACAATTTCGCGAACCATCCACACATCCACTAACTAGCTGCAATTCCAAGAAAGATCCAGCGGCCCACTGGTAATGCCATCAGGCTGCGTGGAGGAGGTGTCCTGCTTCCTGCTCCAGATTCCCAATGTTGTATTTCTGCTCTTTGGTTCCTATTGTAATTTGTCACTGTCCGCGGGAAGGGGGGAGGGGGGAGCGAAAACCATCATTTTACCACCACCCCTTGGGTTCTCAACATCCCCTGGGCTGGGGAGTCCAAGGACTCGTAACAACACTTGATACTCGCGCCCCTGATGCAGTTTAGTCGCGCGTCGAAGGAGGCAGGACGTGCGCCCCTGAAACCGAATTCTTTTGGCAAATTATATCATCGCGCTCCCGAGCCGGTAAATTACTCCGTGCTCGCGCTTCCCAAGCAACGAGCCCTCGTACATTAAGCCAGATTCGCAATCCCAAATACCTCTGGCTCCCCAAACCAAGGCCCGTAGCAAATTACGCCAGACTCGCGCTCAAGCCAGAATCGTTTTTGTAAATGGCGTCAAAGTCACGCTCCCGCAACCATAACCCCTCTGTCCTGCGTAACTTACACAATTGTTTCGTTCCCGTGGCCCGAGCTCTTTATAACATGCGTCAGACTCGCGCTCCCGAGGCTAGATCCTCTGGTAAAACTCACCAGCCCTTTGGGCCTAGGTTGCCTAAAGAGTTTTGTGATTCCTCGTCCAAAACCCTCTCCCCTTCGGGCGGGGGCGCCTTCCCCTTCCCCTCTTTGTTTTGTTTTACAAAAAAATGGGGGGCGCGCGAGGTATCATATGGTTTTCGTTCGCCCAACATGGTTTCAAGAGGGCGTCTGGTGCTCCATGATGGCCTCCCAAAATAACCGAATATAGCTCAACATCGCTTCGCGCATACCTCCAAGAGGCCCGACGGGGCCACAAAACGGCCCCAAGTGCTCTCGGAACCCCCTCTGGGCCCGGACAAGACCAACATACGGCAAAAACATCCGGACAATCATTGAATTGTGCCTTCTCGCCTTTTGGCTTCTGCGGAGCTTCTCGGGCCTCCAAATGGCCCAAGAAAGCACCAAAAAAAACCCAAAAGGCCCACAAAACGGCACCACGAACGCCCAATATCCGCCGACCCCTTGTGGGTCCTCAGGCGCGTGAGATTGGCGCCCCCCCATCATCCCCCCCTGGGGATCCCAAACCTCGATTTTGACCCCCCCCCGGGCCGCGCCAGGTTCCGGACAATGCGCGCCAAGGGGGGGGGGAACGCCCCAAAATGTTCCAAGAGGGCACCAAGACGCCCCCCCACGCGGTCCAAGAGGGCCGCGAATCGTTGGAATATCGACCCCAGATGTCGGCGATGGTTCCCAGACGCTCCCCGCAGCCTCCAAGACACCCCAAAGTGCCCCGAAGATGTGCCCCAACAGGGTCCCCAGACGCAGAAATGGCCCCATTCCCTTCGTAAAACGTACATTTTTAGCAAACTCGCTTTCCCCCCTGTCCGACGCTCCAAGACGGCCTACGACGCCCCCGAGGGGCCCCCACATTGCCCCAAAGGGCCTCCAGACGGCCCACGACGCACCCGACACGGCCCAAGGCCGCCTGAAAACGAGCCCACGAGAGGGCCGGGAGGGGGACCACTATCCAAAAGGCAACCAAAAGGCCATCACGAGCTCCCAGGTGGTCCCCCTGGACCCCCCCACGACGAACCCATGAAGCCCAAAAGGGGCCCCAAGAGACCCCAAAACGGCGCCCAAGAGGCCTCCAACCTGCACTTTTCCTCCCCCTCCCCGTCCTCCAGACTACGTCCGCCCGGCTACTATCCATGAGCCCTCTACTGTCGTCGTCGCCATCGTCGCCTTCTTCATCCCCGCACCCTACTCATCGCCAACTTCCTCCTCATCCTCCCCCCCCCTCATCCTCATCCAGCATTTTCAAAAGAAAAATGTATATTGGAATGGCCTTTTTTCGGCGCCGCCTCGGAACTCGATTTTCCGGCGCCGGCCGGACCCGGACCCAGCCCGGGTGCCGGCCCGGGCGCCGGCTCGGGCGTCTGGCCCGGGCGACGGCTCGGGCGCCAGCCCGGGCGTCGGAATCGGCCTGGGAGGCCCCCCGGGCGCCGGCAGAAATTGAGCATTTTCAATAGCACAATGTGTATTCGAATGGCCTTTTTTCGGCGCCGCCTCGGAACTCGATTTTCCGGCGCCGGCCGGAACCGGCTCCGGACCCGGCCCAGGCGCCAGCCCGGGCGCCGGCTCGGGCGTCCGGCCCGGGCGCCGGCTCGGGCGCCCATGGGCGTCGGAATTGGCCCAGGAGGCCTCCCGGGCGCCGGAAGCAGAAATTGAGGATGTTCAGAAGAAATGTGTGTATTAGAATGGCCTTTTTTCGGCGCCACCTCGGAACTCCATTTTCCGGGGGCGGCCGGAACTGGCTCCGGACCCGGCGGCGCGAGCGCCGGCCCGGGCGCCAGCTCGGGCGCGTGCAGCCCAGGCGCCGGCGGAAATAATGCCAGCGCTGCAGCGGGAGCACGATTCGGAACGAGCGGGTCCCGAAAATGAGGCCGGCGCCTCAGCGAGAGCAGCATTTTGGAACAAAATGCAGGCGAAAACCTAACTCAGGGGAAACCTGTGTGTAAAAAACAATACGCGGGGGGGGTGAACACTCCCAAGACGTCATCAGGGGAAGAGGGAGAGTAGTGTTCATATTGAGTAATTGTGGAGGGGGAGGAGGAGGGGGAGGGGGAGGAGGACGAGGAGGGAGGAGGAGGAGGAGGAGATGGAGGAGGAGGAGAAGAAGGAGGAGAAGAAGGAGGAGGAGGAGAAGAAGGAGGGAGGAGGGAAGAGGGAAGAAGGAGGACGAGGAGGAGAGGAAAGAGGAGGAGGAGTAGGAGGAGGAGGAGGAGGAGGGATGAGGACGAGGAGGGAGGAGGGAGGAGGAGGGAGGAGAGAGGAGGGGGAGGAGGAGGAGGAGGGCAATAATGTTACTACTAATAAGAGTAACAACAACAATACTACTAAGAAGAAGAGTAGTAAGAAGACGAACACGAAAAATAATAATAATACGAATGCTATTACTAATCATAATAATAATGAGAATAAGAAGAATAAGAATAATGACAATAATCATGCGAATGCTAAAAATCATAAGCAGGATAGTACTGCGAATCATAAGATCAATAATAACCACAATCGAAATAATGATACGAATGTGAATGCGAATGATAGTAGTAATAAGAGGCAACCAAATAATACTAATACGAAGGAGAAAAGGAAGCAGAAGAGGAAGAAGACGACACTTAAGGAGGTGGAGGAGGAGGAGGAGCAGCAGGGAGGAGGAGGATGAAGGGCCTCCTGGCCACTCGCGAGGAGCTGTGGCGGCACGAGCGGCGGGGCGAGGACGGGTGGGGGTGGCCCTCCAGGGAGTCGTCGGAGTTGAGCATATCGATCGTCTCGGACAGGGCGACCAGCTCCTGGAGCGCCACGGGCCCCAGCCCCCAGAACGGTCAGGAGGCAACGCCTGGGAGGCCTTCGCTGGCACGACGGAGGCTTCGCACTGCCAGGAGGGAGCGCCACACGAGCAGCGGAAAGCTGGACACGGCGAGCCTCGGCCACGAATGGGCTCCTTTACCTGGGCCCAAGGACCGGCTCGGAATTCAGAGCTCCTCCTGAGCCCCAAGTGGTCCTGAGCTCAGCGTCTTGGCTGAAGAAGGGCTCCTGAGCCCGCTCATGGGGGCTCGATTGAGCCGGACTGGGCCCGACTAAACGCCAAATGAGGTCGAGTTGAGCCAGGGTTAGTTGTGCTGGACGAGGTCTAAGCCAACGGAAATGGAGTAACCATACTGGATTAAAACACCGGCCAAAGGCAGGAAGGCAGCTCAATGTTGAAATTGACCACGAGTAGAACTTTGCACTCAACGCCTGAGGTCGAAGTGGATCATCGAATATCCCTGGGGCCCTGGGGCATGCCGTTCCCTGCTGACGCAGAAACAACGAGGGCAACGTTCGAGCTAAAGGGCGTCTTGGAACCCTTTCAGGCCGTCTTGAAGTCCTCTTGGGCGCTTGTTGGGCCGTTTGGGGGCTCTCGGGGCCGCGTGAGTCGTGAGCGGCCGGAAGCACGAAAAGGTGAGAACCATCTAATCCCACACAAACCACATGGCGCCTTGCTTCTGGCATTAAACTCTTTTGGGGGTCCTCGTGGGGCGTCTTGCGGGCCTCTTCAGCAATCTTGAATCCATCTTGCGCGTCTGGGAACAGACACAGGTACCATACCGCTGCTCCCCTGGTAACCAGCCTCGACCTTACCCCTATCCCTGAGATCGGCGAGCAAAAACCGAGGACAGTCCGCCGACCCCTTGGGGCTTATCGGCGTGTGAGATCTTCCCCCTCCCCAAACCCCTCCCCCGGGAGCCCGGTCCGGTCGATTTGGAGGGGGGGGGGGTCTGTTCAAATTCCCCGGTTCCCCCGAGGGGGTCATCCGCTCCCGAAAATCCTGCAGGGACTCCTCCGGTGGCCTCGAAGTGGCCCCGGGACGCACCACGACGGCTCAAGAGGACCTCCACGTGGCCTTCGGTGGCTCCAAGATTCCCCAATATGGGCTCAAGACAGCCCACGATGCCTCCAAAACGCTCCAAGAGGCCCCGAAAGGGGCGCTCCAAGAAGGTCCAAAGCAGCGAAAATCATTGATCTTCCATTGGGAAGCGTACATTTTTAACATCGACGACCTTTAAGCCTGCACGGAATTGCGGCCAGTCTAACAGGCCCCCAAGGCCACCCCATGACTTCCCAAAAGGGTCCCAAAAGGCGCCCAAGACGGCCCAAAACGGCGCCAAGACGGCCCCAAAGGCTCCCGAATCGGCCCAAAAGAGTCCCAAGACGGCTCCTAGAGGGACCCCAGCGGCGGAGCCCGAACCGAAAATCCAAGCCCTCCACTCCCACCTGGCCCTGGGACGCCCCACGAGCCGCCCAAAAGGTCCCAAGAGACCCCCAAAAGACCTCCAAAAAGCATCCGAAAGGCCCAAAAGAGGCCCCAAGAGGTCCCACAACGGCTATCAGTGAACTTCGAAACTACCTCCACGAAGCCTGCGAGATGCCTCCCCGTAGATCCCAGCGAACGTCGCACAAGCCTCAGACCCACAACCCGGGCACGGTGGCGTGACATGCCGACTGTAAGTAGATCGTGTTCCCAGTTCCTCTCCCTCCTCCTCTTCAGCACCCTTCTCCTCCCTAGTCCTTCCGCCCTCCTCTTCCTCTCCTTCCCTCTTGCATCCTCTCTTCCTTTCCCTCATCCTCTTTCCCCAGCCTTGCCCCCCTCCCCCCCATCCTCCTTCCTCCACCTACCCCTAGGTCCCGGCGGTCAGACTCCTCGCAAAGGTAGTCTTCTCTTGCACGCGCCGCTCCTGTCGCCTTTTGATGATTCCCCACCTGTTGCTGCTGCAAATGTTTCGTGTCCGAGAACGCTCCTCCGCACGCCGCGCACGTCACGTCGCACCTCGTTCTCTCGCCCCCCCGCGCATTTCCGACAGAGCCTCTCCCCCGATGAGTTGTGTTTCTGTGCACCCGACATTTCCGCCTGCTCTTTCAACAGCGTCAGACATGTCTTGCTCGAGCGCATTTAAGGGGTCGGCGGATGTGGCGTAAGCCTGAAGATCTTAAGGATGTGCTCGCCGAAGCTGAGGGAATCCTTAAGATCGGCATCGAGGTGAGGTGATGCCAAACACCGAGATAGGGACACGTTCAAACTGGCAACCTGGGGTGCGCTCTGACCAGAATTCTGAGGAGAATCCGCCCGTGGCGACGAGAGCTCTCCAGGACGAGCAGCAGTGCCGGTACGTCGAGACTTGCCGTGCCACCAAAACGACTCGCGCGCTTTTACCGATCGTGGTCGTGGTCATTTACCGTGCTCGGAAGGAAGCTCCTCCGAACCCCGTTCGCCTGCTCGCCGCCGAGCGAGGCCGAGCCTCACTTGAGAAGGAGCGCTAGAGGGGGGGACAAGCTCAGGAGCGGAAACATCGAGCTCGAGTCGACGATGCATCACCGATGTATCGGCGATAGGCCACCGATTGCGAACGCGTTCGCTCCTGGGCGCGGTGGGCTATCTGGCCCCTGTCGGCGATCAATGGGCGATTGGGGGCCGATGCGTGCCCCCCCCGGGATCCCATCCTCCCCCCACGACGGTGCCCCTGACAACTGGACCCGTGTGTTTGTTCCACGAACGGCGAACACATACCGGCATCTGTGCCCTCGCGGTCTGGACACCGGGGTGCGGCCACGTGGATCCCGTCTTCCCCAGGCGGGGACATCCGCGCAGAGCCAGCCCCCGGCCGCGGCCGGGAAAGCCGGGACCGCGATGCAGCGGGCGTGGGCGGGCGCGGAAAAGATGGGTACGACGTCCAACAGCCAGTGGTGCCCCAAACAAACAGCACTCGCTGCTAGGCGGGTGACGTTTTGTCTCACATGGGCAACGTCCGCGGCGACACTGACAACGAGTCCTGCTTAAAACGGACAGGAACTGCTGTCGGTCTTCGTCACCAGCCTTCCCGTACGCATTTCGACCCTCCAGAAAGAGCGCGCTCGCGTCCGACGAGCTCTCCGGTCCTGCCCGTACCGCAGGACGCACCACGGCGGCCGCGGTCGGGGAAACCGTGCCGCGAGACGGCGGACGTGGACATGACGGGGGGGGTATGACAGAAGGCGACCGCAATCCCCAACGTATGTACTGGGGCTTCCGAACGGACAACCCCGAGATCCTGGCGTCGCATTTTTTCGCAACGGGTGACTTTGCCTTGTTTCGGGCCCCGTGACCCTCACTGATCGATCTAGCTTGAGAAAGGCAGCGGAAACATTGGCTTCAGGGTTCTCGTGGAATTTTGGCTACAAAGTTGCCTCAAGGAAGAACTTTGGGCCAAAGTTTGACAAGAACAGGGGTGCACCCATCCTCGATACAGAGATGCCCCTGAACAACGCCCCGGAGGTGCATCCCCGAGTCCTCCTCCTCTTCTGAGCGGACAGCCTGTTGGAGGTAAACTCGAGGAGTCCAAACATGCTCCGATGAGCGTTTCCCCGCATCCGAAATGGGGTTCTTGCTTTCTCTGGACACTCCGCGCAGTCCTCATATCTCATACCCCCCTCTCCTCCAATCCTCCGTTCACAATCAGCATCACCAGCACACCACCAACGGCATGCTAATCACCATCCCAACATGAACATCGAACATCATCATTATCATCATCATCATCATCATCATCATCATCATCACCACCATCGTCATCATAAGCATCACCACCATCTCATTTGAATCAGCATCATCATGCTCAGCATTATCATGCTCAGCATCATCACCATCACCACCATCACCATCGCACACATTCACACACACGCACACTAACGCGCTCACTCACTCACTCACTCACTCACTCACTCACTCACTCACACACACAATCCGCACACGCTAACACACTCACTCATTCACTCACTCACACGGTCATCTTAAGGAAGTCTCGAGCGGGAGCCTCGTCTGTGAGTGAGTAGCGAGGGAACCTCCAACGGGAGCCCCCTCCCTACAGGGCACGCACTTGTTCGAATCCGAGGCGAGCCATCGGCGTAGTGTAGCAGGCATAGCACTTGAGCGCCCCAAGGGGGGGCAGATCGTGAGGATGTCTCGAGCGGGGGATTCGTCTGTTAGTGAATAGCGACGAGGTCTCGAGCGGGAGCCCATTTCCAATGGGGCCCGCACTTCACGTTCGAATCCGAGGTGGGTCATCGGTGTAGTACAGCAGGTACAGCACGTGAGCACCCGGGGGGGGCAGATCGTGAGGATGCCTCGAGCGGGGCAGCGTGGGTGTAGCGAGGACGTCTCGAGCGGGAGGTCCCTCCCTATGGGACCCTCCCTTCATGCTCCAGTCGGAAAACGGTCATCGGCGTACTGTAGCAGGCAAAACGCTACAGCATCCCAAAGTGGCAAATCGGTAAGATGTCGCGAGCGGAGGCCTCGCCTGTGAGTGAACAGCGGGGCAGTCTCCACGAGAGCAAGCATCACACCTGATCTCCGTACGGGGGCAGATCGTGAGAATTTCTCGAGGGGGGGCTTCGTCTGCGAGTCATTCGCGGGGAAGTCTTGAGCAGGCGCTCCCTTGATGGTCACCACCTAATGTGTTTAATCGGAGCTGGTCATCTGCGTATTGTCGCATTCTATCCCTTGAGAATCCCAAGGGGGCAGATCGTGAGGATGCCTCGAGCGATGGGCTTCGCATCTGAGTGAAAGCGAGGAAGTCTCGAACCGAAGGCCATCTCTGTGGGGACCCCACGTCATGTGCTTCATCCAAGCGGGTCGCTTGCCCACTGTAGCAAGCATATCCCTTGAGCACCCCACGGGGGCAAGTCGTGAGAATGTCTGGAGCGGGAGCCTCGTCTGTGAGTGAGCAGCGGGGGAACCTCCAACGGGAGCACATTTCAAATGGGACCCGTACTTCAT